GCCAGGAGCCCCTAGTAGCGTCCTTGCTCCTAGTAGTACGGCCAGGAGCCCCGATGCCAGGAGCCCCTAGCAGGCATCCGGCTCAAGCTGCCCTTGCCTCAAGCCCCCCGGGGCCAGGCTGCTGCTGCGAAGCAGGGTCTGGCGTCTACAAAGGCGTGCGACCCTTCGCAGCTAGCCTGGTTCCTTTCGACCTTTTGTTCACCTCGATCCGCCGCGCCTGACGTTCATGTCGGCCCTCCCATGGGGGGCGTCGTTGCGTGATGATGAGCTGGACCGGAGAGTCTTGGCCTTGTTCAACCAGTTTCCTCATGGTTCTACGTGCTGGACAATAGGGTATCGAAAGATGGTTGCCATGACCGTGGATGCTGTGCACTCGGATGTCCTCCACGGTTCATTGTGTGCCCTCCACCATCGAACTGGTCTTCATTGGGATGGATGCCAATCCCACGATGCTGTGGTTCGAGTTCCTGGTCTTGACAACCGGTATCCACTTGTCTGCGCAGGCGAGAGGATTCTGATTGCTGGTGTCCTCAAGCACATGTCAAGTGATGGCAACAAAGTTGATTTCCAGAAAGGTGCGACCATTGTACATTGTCCGGCCATTGCTAATGAGCTTCACTGAAATATCCTGCATCTATTTGCGGCTGGCTATGCAGGTTGGGCCCAAGCCGCCCAGTGGTTGCAGTCGGACAACATTGGATTCGTTCTGGATCGACAAGTATTTGTTGATTGGGATCCCCTGGTGGTACAAACCTGTGCCAAGAATCATGATGCGCTGGTAGTCAAAGCACCAATTGAACCAAGCTGTGAGTTCGTGGTCCGCAAACAGATCATAGCTGAAGGTGCTGTGTCTGACCTCACGATCTTCCATACAGTACGAATGCCGTTCAATCTGGTGGCAACCTTGAGCCCACCTTGTGTGTCATGGTCAAAAGGCGGGGTTGGTGGTGGCCTGGATCCACCCATGGCTTAGCCCTGCTCGAGGGCATTGAGATGCTCCTTGCAACCCAACCGGTTGCTGCACTGTTTGAATGCGCTGATGAGATTAAAGCTCATCACCATTTTCCAGTTTTCGGTGCACTCATGACATTGTTGGGTTTTAAGCAACAGGTAATTTCCTACCATTACTTGGCCCACCATTACAGGAATATTTGGCTCGCCCTGTGGGTTCGCTCTGACGTTCCCGCTACTGACTGAGGTTACCAATTTGTTCAAACTCATGGTTCCACCCATGCTTCCATGGCATGATGCACGATATTCGTTCTGCTTGCCTCAGGAAGTGCAGCGCCAGCTCAAGCTTTCACCGGATCAATTTTTGACTTATGGAGAGCTCCAATTGCTGCCACTTGGAAAGAGAGAGCCGGAGTTCAACCTTCGGTCACCGCTCTGCAGGTTGTTCGAGCACGGATTCCCTCAGCACAGGAACCACTAGCAACCTTATGTGTTCCTCCTACACACAGCCGCAATCATCTCGCTCGTAGGGGTATGTATGCCAGTCTCGATTGAGCAGGATGAGGAGTTTTACTTCCTTGATCCAATCGCTTTGTTGCATTGTTGGGGACGGTCACCGATTTGGCAATCCCACTCAACTTGAGCCAGGCCTTTCATCAATGCTATCAGTGTGCCACATGCACTACTAGGCATCCTGGTCATGCTTTCGTCCATCGCAAAGCAGTCCTTTCCAATCCAGGAGTGCGTTTGTAAGTGCTGGCTGAGCCGCATTCATGCTGATGTCACTGTCCTTATCGTTGAGGGAAACCGAGTCTGGATTCGCAATGTGGTGCAATTCGTTTTGTCCTTGCCAAAGCCCAGGTTTCATGTCCTTGATTCGAATGCCCAAGTTACGTTTCTTGAGGAGGACTTCCCCATTGAGATTGATTGGCATTTGAATTTTCGAGAGCTTGGCGCTTTGTTGTTTCAGCTGCAACCGCATTTAGTGATGCAAATCAGAGTTGGACACTGTCCTGGATTTTCTCGCCCAAGACAAAGAATGCGACTTGTACCTTGGGGGGTACCATGTGTGCGCGGTGAAGTGGGTTGAACCTATGGCACCTACCTCTCTCATTGCTGATCATGATGATGTTCGGAGCACGCCCTCTTTGCCATGTGGCATCTCGTGTTTGCCTTTTGGTCCGTTCGACCCTGCCGACCTACTCTTCACGAAAGCCATTGAGAACTTGGAGAACCTCAATTGTGTGACAACATTTCCGGGCAGCACGTTTGTCATTGTTGCAGGAACCAACCTATGGGCTTTCACTCCGTTTGATGGTATACAGAAGATCAGTTTGCCGCACGCATTCGAACCGCCTTCGATTGCCTCGTGCCCCATGATCGAGCTGTGGTAATCCCACTGCGCAAGAACTTCCGCTGGAGAACTGGCACCCGGGATGCAGTGAGTGTTCTCCATGAGACTCCACTCCCTGTTCGTACCTCCGATTTTATCGTTGCTGCAGGGTCTATACTCCTCGGCCCATGTGCCAGTTGCATAATGGACTACCTTTCGATCCTGCTACGGTGCCTCAAGATGGTGATATCTTCGTTATTCCACATCATCAAGTTCGAGCTGGAGGTGTGCACGATGTCTGCAAAAAACGGCATGTCCTCCTTCCGGGCGCGACATTTGGTGAGAGGTGTGAGTTTGCTGCTAACACCGACGGGTGGGCTGCGTCGGATGAGATTTGGCACATCACGTCCATCTTCAATTGGTCCACTCCGCATATCCAATTCCTAGTCCCTGTCTTTTGGGACTCCAGGATCAACGATCTCGTCCCTTGCGATGGACAACAGTTTGGCTTTCCGAACAACGCAATCTCCATCCTGCCTGTATTGATTGAAAACCATTGGGCCGGAGTTGAAGTCATGCGTCTTGCAGAGGTCATCCAGGTTTTGCTGGTTCAGGTGCCATCTGAATTGCAGGTGTGTCTTCATCAGATTCTTGCCAAGATTTTTTGATGCGAGCCCTTTGCACCTCTTAGTCACCGAGGTGTGGCCAGAACAAATCTTCAATTTATGTGGTTGGACACTTCTGCAACGCTGGAGCGCCACGCTCCCGGTTGAAGATTGGAGCGACCCCGTTGACCTCACGGCCATCGCGCCAGCTAAGCTGCAGGCAATCCAGATTGCCATCGAAGCCAGCCAGGAAGATTGGCATGCTTCCGGTGCTAGCCCACTCCTCATTCGTTTTGCATCACAGTGCCGAACTCGTGTCCTGTCATTCCTTGCCCGGTCCACAACTGCAGTGTCCTCAGCTGTCACTATGCCACTGTCCACCAATGTCCATTCGATTGAGATCAACCCTGATGCAAGAGCAGCCACTATGTCACCATTCTCAGGGGAGACGCCTCGCCACCTGCTGGATTACATCAACCGAAGACTTGAGGACTTTCGCTGCGAACCGACATGGGCGGCTATAGTGATGAAATTGACTTTGCGTTGGATGTCCTTCGTCCGTATGCTTCACATACATTGTTCATCAACCCCCTTGCATGTCTGGGCTTCGCAGTCTGCCGCCTTTCGGTCAATCACAGGGGTTCAAGTGCCACTTACCGGATACACGGACATTGTGGTTCCTCTCCGTGTATAGGGCGCCATTGGGTGCAATGCGACGTCTTTGCCCATGGTCAGACACTGTTTGTGTTGTTCACCAACACATTGCCGGAGTCTGCTGATCCGCAGACCATCGCCAATGCTTTTTGCAGTGCACACAAGCAATGTCACTTTCGTTCCGGCGATGCCCCTACACCAAAGGGAATGTGCGGATGGGCGCTTCTCGGGAGGCTCTTTGACCGTTACAGGATTCCTTTCCCAATCGTGTCTCGACAGATGACCCAAGCCTTGTTTCAGTCCCAATTCAGCCAACTTTTGAGCCTGATTCTCGACAGGGCGAACGAAGCATGGGCGGACTCCACAGACGATAGCTCCCTCCGGAAGCTTGCGTATTCGGTTCGTGCCAATTTCCTGCGCAGGATTCTTTCGAAACCGGGCCCTGCAGAGTACCTGTCAGCTGGCGCGCCTGACGCTGATGCCAGCATGCCACCGGCCACCACTGTTGCTGGCCCCATTGATCCTCTGACTGTGCGCGATCCCTGGGCCCAAGCGGTTCGACAGTCATCTAAATGGGAGGACCTTAAATTAATTGCAAGCAGGCCACCCCTTCGTCGACTCAGCCAACAAATCCCTGCCACAGATTCATCGCCTCCAGGCTTCGAAGAATCGGGGTGGTGTGATCCTTGCCTCCAAAGGGACCATCGCTGACATCCTCAAGGTACAACCACCAGGTCCCTCCATTATTGTTATGCCGGCTACAGACTTGCGGTCTACGGACCTCTTGCAGCCAAGGTTCACGGACCTTACGAAGTCGTGCTTGATGATCCCAAACAGAAATCAAGCTACAAACGACTGGTGCAGTTTTTGCTCATCGATGGTGATGTGAAATTCGCCCTGCCAAAACCCACGTGTTCCTTTACCACCCCTTTGGTTTCGGAGCTGGTGTTTGAGCTTGATTCCCGCTGTACAGACAAGCAATTGTTGACTTACCTGCAGCAACAGCCCCTCAATCACTTTCGTGAGAAAGCCATTGAATCCTTTGGAGCATCTGCGGTCGATGCCGCCCAATACTATGGTTTTCGCATTTGTCGTAACCCACCTGCGGGGGATGGTGCGCACCAGTTGCAGTGCATTGTGAAAGTACATGCCAAACTTCGTGCTCAGCTCATTTCAGCCAGCGGCACGCTGTCTCAGATCTTTGTCCGTGACTTCCTGGACCGGTCGGTTCAACCGTCTGAGACGACGGTTCTGCCTCGTTTCTGGCCCGTTTCGCCCACTGGTCTACACCAGATCATCGCGACAGCTCAGGGTCTTCCCGGCTTTGCTGGATTA